ATTGTTCCATTTGTGAAAGTGGTGCCAAGAATATCATATCATCTCTTTCATATATAACACATGGGTCACACTGTTAAAGGATAAACTGTTATGTGACCTCTTAGGTAATAACCACCATACCATAAAGTAAAAGTGTGATACAGGCATTAAAATGTGACAGGAATATAAAATGTTTCAGATATCGGCCCATATGAGATTTAGAGAATTAAACTGATTTCAGTTACCTTGTTTCATATTGTAAAGCATCTAGAATAACTGAACTGGAGCAAATAGCCAGATAAAAATTTTTGAACAGTTATCCAGTAGTTTTAATAATTTCCGTCACAAATTCTAAAAAGAATTACTAGTTTACATTTTGGATTCCTGACTAATACGAAGAAATGCTTTGCCAACAGAGCCTTTGCTTACTGAGGTGAACAAATGTGGGCCCTGATGGAGGAGAGACTAAGATTATAGAAAGCTTTGGATATATATTTGACAAAGAAACTAAAATAGAATAGAATAGATTGCTTTGCTCTATCACAATCTATATGAAAATAGCTTGTGTGCAAGCTCAAATAAATAGCATAAAAAGGAATAATAAATTAAAACTTGCTGAACATATTTCTTCATAAGATTCTTGATGGAAAAGGGAGAACATCAAAGGTAAATGCTATTTTTAAGGCATTTAATTCAGCTAAGGAAAGTATGGAGAAGTTCTGAAATTCAAGTATTATTTTCATATTCTAGGATACTACAGGAAAAAAAATTCTTTTCCATCCTATCCAATCTTCCTGGAAGAAATTCCAGCAGAAACCTGTAAGGTAAATGGAGTGTGGAAAACTAATTCACAAATTGCAGGCTTGGGAAAGAATAACACTGCTTAGAAAATGAAAGTCGATCAAGATTGGAAACATTTCACCTCCTTTCATTTAAATCTTCAATCTTTTTTCCTGCTGGTTTAGGAAACAGAATACAACATAATGGGGCAGTAGGGAGTATGAATTCTAAATATTTCAAAATGGCCACATTGACATGCTCGATGCAATTTTCTGTGACTAAAAGAAAACTAGGTATTTGGGTAATCTCCCAGTTAAAACATGGTTCACTAAACTCAAAACAGTTACTTTCGCCCGTGTGTTTTATCCCCTTATTATGTAAGATTTACTTTAATCAATTAAGGCAGAAGCTTAAAAAAAAAACTATCACAGAAGTTAAAGACAGAAAATGAACTGAAATATTACTAGACTAATCCCCTGCTTTCAATTCAATGTGTACCTACCACTTTTCAGAGAGCTAAGCATTTACTACAATAAGAACCTGAAAAACAGTTACTTGTTACTTTCACTGATAAGTGAAAGTCAATCCATGACCAAATTCTCCATGCTCATAAATGCTTTTCTGAGGTGTCCAAGCTAAATCTTTCATGTAAATTCCAAACTGCCTTATAAACAGCCTGTGACAAGTCAAGTAATTCTGACAAGTCAACACAACTGAAGGAGAGAGTCACACTACTTTAAATTTAAGTTCAAAAGAGTTAGTAATTAAACATATCCAGAGTTTCTAAAAGGAACAATTAGCTCCCTACTACCAATTTTTTAAAATCATTATACATAGAGGTGTGATATAAAATTTAAATGCTTAAAACCTGAGAAATTTTGATATGTCAATTTTGTAGTCACTAAAACTATTGGATTTATGCCCTACTGATACATAAAATACCAGTAAAAAATCATTAGATTTTCAAAAAGATTGTTTCCAATATTTCAGCTAGACACGTGATTACCACCAATGAACATATATACTAGAGAATAGCTCCTGTACATTTAATTCTCATACTAATCTTATGAGGTATAAGAATTTCCATTTTTAAAAATTACCATTATCATCCCCATTTTATACAGATAAGAAACATGGTAGTGCAAATACTTGTACACAGGCTTTCAAATTCAAAGACTTCTGCTCTTTACCTGTACGAAGGCCTACAGGTGATTTTTCATAGGAACGATGGGCTGAATTGTACAATCTATACTCTGTTACCAGACATGGTTACCTATTTATAACAAAGCTAATCTGAAGTAGGTGTTAGTCTGAGACTATAGAGAATGGCCAGGCAAGTAATAGGATTGAAAATTCCCAAACTACTTTTGTTTAAATGTTGGAAATATTAAATCTATAATAAGATACACTATGATTTTGAGCATTGAAAATCACTAGGGAACTACCACTATGGTATTAACTCTTTCTCTGTCTCTGCATATGCCTCTGCCTATGATGTGTTGCCATCCATACCAGTGGCCCTCATTAGGGCAGTGATTCTTAGGGTGAAGAAATACCCTCCTTTCCATCAAGGGACCCACCATAAGGGGTAGAAGTTCACATGAAACTTCCCTGAGTGACCTTGAGAGATTTTTTCGCCCCTCCCTCTGGGAGTTATGTTTCCTCCCTCCCCAACATTTAAAATCCTCGTTATACAGCAAAATAATAAATCACAACAGTTACTGGGTGATTTATCGGAGCACGGCACTATTCTATGGACTCAATCAATCTTCACAACCAATTTATAAACTATATTAAGATTCCTATTTTATACATGAAGAAAGTAAGGCTCAGATAATTGAAGGAACTTACCCAAGGTTACACATCTAAAAAGTGATAGAGCCTCGCTTTGAACCTAGAAAATCTGATTCCAAAGACAACACACTTAATAACCACATTATATTGCCTCTCATTTGTTGGCTGGACTAATTATAAGAAAGTCATTGAATCAAATGTGGAAACACTCTTCAAAATGATATCACAGTAACTCAACCAAAGTCTCATGGAGGAAAATTATTTCATAAATATAGGAACAATCTAAAATGGATCTTAGTTTATAAAACTGAAGTTTGGGCCTTAGGTACTCTCTCTTTCTTTCTCTTTCTCTCTTTTGCTGTTTTCCATAATTTAAACCTTGCTCTAAATAACTAGTCTGAATTGATTAACTAGTCTGAATTGATCCCAAGTGCCAAAGTGCCACTGTTGTATAAATCATTTACTTCTACAACATCCTTTTTTAAAAGAATTTAATTAAATAACCTGTTAATAAGACATATCACTTATTTGATTGTTCTAAAAAATTTTTAAGGTGAAATATCATACAAATGAAAAAATATGACTAAATTTAATGACACAGATGAACCTCATTATTATAATTTAGCAAAAGAGGCCAGATACAAAGAATACATATGTATGATTCAATTTATATAAAGTGCAAAAACAGGCAAACTGGTGCTAGCATTTAGGACAATGTTTACCCTTGGAATGGGGCACAAGGGTGTTTCTGTCTCTGGCACTATTCTGTTTCTTGATCTGGCTGATGGTTATATAAATGTTTCATTTAGAGAAATTCACTGAGTTTTATACCTATATTTTGTGTACTTTCACACTATGTATGTTAAATTTGAATAAAAAAAATACATTAAAAGGGAATATTTCATCCTAATCTGTCATTCTGCTATTTGTAATTTGACCCTACTTTCTTTCTTCCAAAAGATACAATTAATTTGTTTCATAAAGAAAGCAAACAAGAGGCCCCTCGGTGGCTCAGTCGGTTAAACCTCTGCCTTCTGCTCAGGTCATGATCTCAGGGTCATGAGATCGAGCCCTGAATTGGGCTTCATCCTCAGTGGGGAGTCTGCTTGAGATTCTCTCTCTCTCCCTCTACCTCTGCCCCTCCCTCACTTGTGCTCTCTCTCTCTCTTTCTTTTTCTCTCTCAAATAAATAAATAAATAAATAAATAACATCTTTAAAAAAAAAAGCAAACAATATTTCTACATAACATTGTAAAGTTACTCTTTTCCTAAATGTTTTAAAGTCATATTTATTGAGATATAAATTATAGCCAGTAAAATTCATCCTTTTTAATGTACTGAACCATGATATTTGTGTACCCATCACCACTGTCAAGATATAGAATAATTCCATCATCCCCCCAAATTACCTCATGTCCGTTGCCAGGCATACCTGGTAACATTGCTGCTGGCGACACTGACCTATTCCCTGTCCCTATAGTTTTGGCTTTTCCAGAATGCATACAAATGGAATCATATGGTATGTATTCTTTTAAGTCTAGTTTCTTTCACTTAGCATAATGAGATCCATCCACGTTTTGCATATGTCATTAGTTTCTTCCTTTCTATTGCAGAGTAGCATTACAATGTATCTATATATCACAACTGAAGAGCATTTGAGTAGTTTCCAGGTTGGTGATTTTGCATAAAGCCACTACTCATGCACAGATTTGTGTATGAATCTGAGTGATATATATATATATATATATATATATTTTTTTTAATTCCAACTTGTACTTTTACCTGCACAAAGTATTTTCTATAGTGCCTTTAGTCTATGGTAATTCTGATGCCTAGAGAATACACCAACCAGCTCAAAATAATATAAAATCAGAAAATGAATCCAATTAAACAAGAAACATCTTATAAAAATAGATCAACTTTTGCAAATTCCTCTCTTAAAAATATTTCTTTTTGCAATAATCTACAAAATTAATAAAATATTCTATTAAAGTTCTAGATTAATAAATCAAAATCCTGCTTAAATTGTAGAAAGTTAAAATTCAATGACACTACTAATTTGGATTCTAAAATTATAATGAATAGAGAAAAAAAGAGATAAGGAATGTGGCTTGAAAAGTAGTCTTATATGCCTGTTTCATAACTCCCTGAATTTAACATAGTATAAGTTTCACCCAACTGGTTAGTATTCTTTATCCATGATAATTTGGAAAGGATTTGAGTGACAAAATGGAAACATGGTAGATGTTACCTAGCATGTTGTGGTAAAGTGGAATGGCCCGTCCAAGGATAATAAATGCAGTCATGACTAGTGGGACCGCTACACCTGCAGGCAATTACAGAACAGAAAGCATCATTCTCCATTCACAGTGGCATGCACACACATGCACCAGTGCTCACACAAGGAGCCTTGGAGGAAGAACATGGGAAGCAAGCACACCAAGTACCTATCCATCAGGCCGATGCAGTCTTCAATACTTGAGCCTATGCACCTGTAGAAGATCCAAATTTAAAAAATACAAGGAAAGAAAAGATTAGTCATTTTTAAAAAAAGAATCAGTAAGATAAACACAATTGTTTCAAATTTTTAATAATAGTTTTTAGACAATTTTGGGACACTCTGAAGTTAAGCCAGTGAGAAGATTATTGCTTGATGGATACAGAGAAGTAAGTTGCAAATTCCACGCTAGTGGCATGCAAAGAAACATATTCACAGTATAGGAAATTGTGGATAACTTCCAAACCCATATAACTCACTTCTAATGCTTTCAATTCATTTGCATCATTCATGAGTATATGTCTTGCTGAATAACTTGATATTTCAAAGGCTATAATTGGTTTCATGTATACAGTTTCTACTAAAAGGACTTAAACTTCAGTAAAAACTAAAATCAATAAAAAAAGGAAACATGAGCTATTCAATATAATATAATAACCTGATGTTAATACTCATTAAAGATTGATTATGACAGAAAATGAGTTAACATGTTTTAATGCTATTCTTATGGATACTTTACATAATCACATTATTCCATTCCTTGGTTGTGACTATTTTTAAAGCACACTTATCTGTAAACATGAATTCATTTAAAAAGCAAATTAACTGGTTTCACCATAATGCAGTTTATCTTGACACTCTCTTTTAAAAGAGCAGTGCCATAACAGGCAAACAGAAATAGGTTTTTAAACTGCCATCATATTTAACTGAAACAATAACAAATAAATACTCTCCAAAGAAATGAATACACTAAGAACCAGGTAAGTAAAGAATTCACTGAGATCAATATTTAAGTGGAATCATATAAGTACACAAAATCCTGGTGTACAGTCCCTAGAATTGCATTTTGAAGTATTACGGAAATATTGCTTCTCCCATCTTCCAATGTACGTGAATTGTATTTCTTTCCCTTCTCTCTCATCACATACATATAGCTCCAGTGCATTATCAAGATTCCCTCTACAGCTATGATTTATAGAACTGTCTAATTCTGCTGATCACATTTTTTCCCCAAACTCTAATTTCTAAAACTGAAAAAGAAGCTGAAATTAAAAATCACCATATAATGAAGTAATAAGGTGCTCGTGTATAAGGCCAGACTGCCCATTATATCTTTAGATAACTCTCAACATTGGTGAACTAATGTAACTATGTGTAATAATAATTAAGTCACTGTTTCCTTGCTTCACCAGTATCTGCTATAACATTACTACTAGGTAGAAAGATGTTTTCTTTTTGAGGATTGGTTTTGAACAGGCCAGAAAAAATTTAATATACAGAAACATGGAGAATACATCATGAAAAAGTCTTTTAAAAAAGCAAATAAGAAATAAAAATAAAAATATATAGCACAGAGCATTGAATTGGTATTATAATCCATAACCAAAACCATTTCTTAAAATGGAAAAAGTAACTACTAAAAATGTTTCCAAATTGTCTTATATTGTTTTCTTTTTATTTTATTCTGAAGAACTTATTTTTTCCTAGGTTCCAATTATATCTTCTTCAAAATGCTTTTTTATACAGTATTGCCATTTTGTAAAATTAATAGTCTACTTCTTATTTCCAAGTAGAAGTAAACCAAAAAGCTATGATTAGTTTGCAATCTGTGCCTTTATAATTACCTTTGAAAGATAAAAAATATTTGAAAGTGAAATTCAACTTGAGGGGAAAGTATGAATGATGAAAGATCTTTATTTATCCATTTAAAAAAATTGTTTGCATGCCTACTAAGTGTTGCTACTCTTCTAGGAGCTGGAGGGAAAAAAAAAGATGAATTAGACAATTTTTCTACTCTTAATGAGCTCACAATTTAATGAAGGAGACAGATGCATAACCAGATGTATATTGTATAATGTGATAAATATAATAAGAGACATGAAAGAGTGGCTTAAGGGAGCATAGCAGAGGGATGCTTGGCTTCAAAAAATCATGGTAATCCTCACGGAGAAGACAGGAAGCTGAAGTTCAGGGTGCTGAGATCCAGGGTTGGAGTAGCAGTGACATCTAAGGGGTAAGGAACAACAGAGATAAAAGCACAGACCTGAGGACATGTAGAGTGCATGAAATTCTGAATAGTCAGGGAGCACAACATGAGGTGACAGGGAGAGGGAAAAGAAGCGAGATCGTGAGACAGGAGTCAGAATTTGAAAGCTATTTGCTTAGAAGCAAATTTAATGGAGAACCACTGCAGGTTTTAAAGAAGTAAAGGATTTGCTACATTTGTGTTTTCCATGGACCTCTGCCCTGTGAAGGCTAGTCAGGTGGGATCCAGGGAGATTCCTCTGGCCCAGAGACTGTTTTAGTCTGTATAAGAGATGAAAAAAGGATTAAACTTCGGAAATGGCAAGTAGGATAGAAGCAGGGGCCAGACTGAAGAAATACCTTGGAAGGTATGGAGGGTAAAAGAGAAGCTGATGGCTGATTTGATGACAGAAGGGTCAGAGGAATTAAACATGTCAAATGTCCATCTATGAGAATAGTAGTACCATCAGTGAGAGAATGCAAGAGGAGGGACACCTTTCCTTTTGTGTGTGTTGGAGGAGGAGGGGTTGATAATTTCAGTTTTATTTATCTAGTGTGGTTGTCCTACATTTGGGTAAGAAATGTTCCTTGCCAGCAGGAAAGGGGGGTCTGTGGTGGTGGGGCATAGAGATATCAGAATGATAATCAATTTTGAAATAGCGTACGGGAAAAGATGAAATCATGAGTGGATAAGATAGCTGAAGAAGGATCTATAAAGCGAGATAAGCAGAGCCTGAGACTGAAATCCATGGAACTCCAATAACCAGTAAGTGACCTAAGCTAAGCTCCTATGCCAGAAGCATGAGAAAATGTAATGGAGTAAAATCGGGTAATTGCAGCATCGTGGGGGCCAAATCAGGACAGACCTTCAGGAAATGGGATAATTGTCAACGTCAAATGCAAAGAGAGGTCTCATCAAATAGGAAGTACTGAGAGCATTTTAGTTGTCATTGTTGAGGTCACCAGAATTTTGGGTGCTGTGAGTCGAGAAGCAAATTGGACATACGAGAATAGAGGCAAGGGAATTGGGAGGTGAGTACTGAGGGGGCAGGATGTAGGGAAAGTTTGTTGAGTGCATTGTGTAGGATATTTGAGATTTAAACTTATTTACAAGCTGAAGATGAAAGAAAAAATGGATAACAAAGAATAAGGGTATGACTGAAGCGGCCCCATCTTTTCTAAATACAAGTCGCTGTGTATTTAAAGATGTGTACCCTATTTCAACCTTTTGGACTTTATTTATAACTTTATTAAATAGCACTTGCAACTTATATTGATTCAGCAAGATCACAGAATAATGGAAACATTAAACTTTTAAAGAGTCAAAATCCCAAATATGAGATCAAAAAAGGATTAGGAATAATGCAACTCTCTACAAAATTAATGGTAAAAAGTAAAAGCTTTACAGAATATCAGAAACTATAACATGTCAATAAAAATATCTGGAATTCTGAACACCAAGATGTGTTGAACATTTGCCACTACTTACTGATTTATAAGCATTTTGATGTACCCATATATCTAACATAGTTGAGATATTTTAACAAAATCTCCTTTAAATTGTGAAATGGAGGAATATTTTAAAATTTCAATTAAAAGAGTATAGACAATAATTTCACAAGCAGCTCTTCTTTCCTTCTATCAGTGAAAAATTTTTCACTATGTAAATTAAAAAATATAAAAAGGGTTGATAAAAAGATTAAGGCATATAGGGAATTTAATAATATGAAACCATGATTCTAATATTAACAAAAATATTCAATGAAAATTTTCAAAGATGCCTTATGAAAAATAAATATCCCAGTCCAAAACCAAAATTAAATTGGTATTTATCATGGACTCAATAATGTTAGTGTAGAAACCACAGTAATTGCCATTATAGCAATTTAATTACCTACTAAATTTAGTTTTTTAAAAATTTCTATCTTGCTAATTGCAAATATGTAGATCATTCCTTTTTTTTTTTTTAAGATTTTATTTATTTATTTGATTGGGAGAGAGCACAAGTAGGCAGAGTGGCAGGCAGAGGGAGAGGGAAAAGCAGGCTCTCCGCTGAGCAGGGAGCCAGATGTGGGGCTCAATCCTGGGACCCTGGGATCATGACCTGAACCAAAGGCAGCCGCTTAACCGACCGAGCCACCCAGGTGCCCCATGAAGATCATTCCTAAGTTTTAAATGCTTGCTCATCATTAATAAATACATAAATAAATAAATAAATGCTTGCTCATCATTTCAAAATATGGGGAGGGGTCTCCAATGGAAAGATATGAATTGTAAGAGTGAAAACTCACTGAACCATGACTCACTAGTGGTCAAGAGCTGTGTCTTTCTTATTTCTGAACTTAGCTATCACTATATCTGATGCACAGTAGATGTTCAATATAACCAAGTTGAAGAACGAATGAAATGAGAAAAGGCTGCCAAAATAAAAGTCTTCTAGTCAAGGCAAGAAGAGACAATGTTAACTGACCTTCCTGCCCTGCCACCCCAACCACCACCTCTTTAGGGATATTAATGAAAATCTCCTGATAGGTACTAAATGGATAACTTATTTTAAAAATATCTAAAGAACTTACAAGAGCCAATATATTTAATGTACTTTCAGAGTAATAAAAGTGCTTTTAAGGTATTACACACATAATTTTATTTTCAGAAAATCATTGAACAGTATTCAAAGCAAGAACTTTCCTTCTAAAAAAAATGTGTCTTGAAAGACTATTTCCATTAACTTGGTTCTTGAATTATCTAGCTGACATAATATCGACATATAAAAGAAAATCTGTTTTCCAAAGCTGAGTTGGCGTGGTGAGCTCACACTCACCCATAGGGCAATTAGTACACGCATTTAGGAATAGAAATAGTCATTCGTCTCATCGTCTCCACTGTCCCTGTGCTCTTTCTAGGGAAAGATCCTATCTCTACATGCAATTTGAAGAGAAGGGACTAACTGCACAGAGCCCTTCATTGCTTCACTAAAGGATCTCAAGGCGCAGTGGTGCAGAGCAGTAGTGTAGAGTTGGATTCAGGAATTTACGAATTCTGGGGTTGGGACCACAAAACTTTCATGAAGTGAGTGAACCTGGACAATATGGAGGATATTAGGAAAAGGATGGCAGGAGGCTAAACGAAAACAAATACAAAAATCCTTCAGGACTAAATCAGTCATCCCAGAATCCATTTACCTTGGAAGATGCCAGGGAATACAACATTCAAATTCTGTCTCACCATCATTCTGCAACAGCTGATTTAAAGACATTTTTCTATTTACTTGGGAGTTCCTAAATGATCTGGTAGGATTTGTTCCCTTTATACCTTCATCCTCCCTTTTTTTTTTTTTTTTAAAATTTTATTTATTTATCTGAGAGAGAGAGAATGAGAGATAGAAAGCACGAGAGGGAAGAGAGTCAGAGGGAGAAGCAGACTCCCCGCTGAGCCGGAAGCCCGATGTGGGACTCGATCCCAGGGACTCCAGGATCACGACCTGAGCCGAAGGCAGTCGCTTAACCAACTGAGCCACCCAGGCGCCCCTTCATCCTCCCTTTTTACCTGACATCTGGATTTTGTTGCTGTGGTAAATGGACCTACTTCTACTTCCCCCCCACTATATATATTTTCTTTTATTACATAATCATGATTTAAAAGGGCTGAGAGGAAGACACACCAGCCACACACCCAGACTATGGCTCTGTGATCTCACTTTCATTTCCCTAATGGCTTCCTTGTAATTAGATTTGCAAAAATAGCAAAAGGTCTCATTTTGAATGGCAACAGCTGTTGACATCAACATTATATTGAATAATTTACTGGTTTAATTTTAGCTGCAAAACAATAAAACCCTCCTGTGGATGATTATTTTAGCAGGCAAAGTTTTCTCTTTCTGTTGCTGACTCTTCTGCTCCAGGGGTACCAGTTGTTTCTTCATGAAATACTCTTAACCCAACTGTGCCAAAAACTTGCAAGGGGAGAAGTTCATTCCATCTAGTTTCCTTGAAGCAAAGTGTCTATGCGACTATTTCAGTATCCTCAGTCTATGTGCTTATGTATAAACCAACGAGTTGGCATAAGCTCTTCCAGGCTGCATTTGAATTTGAATGGCAGAATATTACTTTACCTTTTCAGGATCTGCCACTTCACAGAGTGACTTAAGCTGATTTCTTGACCTGCAGGAAATTGTAGCAGCATCTGCAAATTGGTGTCCTCTTGGCAGAAAATGATGTTGCTTGCTTAACTTCTTCAGTATCCCCTAGCAGCTAGCTCTTAATCTGGCAGAAAATCTCTTTATGGAATCTCATACTTTCCTGCCAGATAGATACAGACAAGTATCTGTATCTGTACGTGGTGTGTGCACATGTGTGTGGGCACTCATCAGGGAGAAGAGGATGTACGGACAGAAGTAGGATAGAGTGTGTTAAATTGTTCTCAAGTCTGAAATTAGTCACGTTCTGGAGGAAAGAAAAAGAAAAGCCCTTACTAAAATAGATTTGCTCTCTTTTAAAAAATTAGGTGTTGGGATTTGTTAGATGAGTGACATTATTTCTTTCAGTTCAGTGGTTTTCTTCTTTCTGTAATATGTCTTTGTTTTTCAACTGTTATCAGTATCAAAGGTAATCTAATTCATTATTATCACTAATATTCATTTTATAATGCATCCTTTTGAAACAATAGAAAACTATGTACCTACCCATCTTCAAGTTGTCCTATACTGGTCAAAGAAATTCTAAGTTATAGGTTAACCTGCCATAAAATTACTTTCACAAAATGCATTTGTGATTTTATTGATATACGTATCACTAAATTCTCCCCCCCAACACCTTTTTTTTTCCTGTCGTCACTATTTTGCTTATATTTTGTTGAAGGAGTAATTCAAGGCAGTGTTTAGCCTTCAGCTGGTTGTAAGAAGAAAGAAACAGAAACAGAAAACTTCTGTTAAAGATTTATTAAGCACAAACCTGAAAAGTCTGATGACTATCTTGTCTTTTCTAAGATATCTTCAATATCAAGTAAAATTTGGAAGAATTTCTACACTCCATACAAAGTATACCTGCCACCAGCTTCATAAAGGTGTCAATAGAATACTTTTAGGTAAATTTTTAACAGAAATATCTGAGAGGGTATACATTCGATTGCATAAACCACTTTCTTAGAAAGTATTTCTCTTTAAGTCAACATGTTAATATAAAGATGAATAGAGTTTTATATGACAATAGTATATATTTAGTAGACTGTGTCAAGGGTAAAGATACTTGTGTGATGGAGTCCTTGGCCAGCAAGGATGCTTACCCTTGGGTGCAGTTTGGATGGCATGGGTGGCACTCCCGATCCTGATCAGCATACTTGAAAATGAAACTGTTTGCCCCCTGTAAGCCATCTGGACATTTTTCCACACAGTTCGGGCCATCCTTAAAATGGGAGCACTTTGTGCAGTTGTCAGGTCCCTGAAGTGTGAAAAACAAAACACAATGGAGAAAGAAAAATGGATGCTCTTTCCTCTGGTATTGATGTGGCTTAGTTCCTAAGACTTCAGTGAGCGGCCAATCTTCCCCTAGGGAACTGGAGAGCATTTTCAAAACTACAAATGGGGATGTCACTATTGCAGCTTTTCAATGTAAAAGTGAGATGTAAAATTTCCTTTGGTTGTCTATGATTATTTGAACAATGAATTTTAAAATTTACTATGGTTGAATTATTAGGAATTAGTTTAGGAAAATAAAATTTAACTTCTAGATTACTCTCCATCTCAAATCAGCTTGTGATAATGTTAAAACTCACATGTCTATTTATAGGGATTTTAGTAAATCACAGTTCAATACTGAGAGCACAATAAAGACATTCTGATGAACAAATATCAAAAGTCCACAATAATAAAGTAGGTGCATGTCAAAGAAAATTATATGGAGAAACTTATCCAATAATAAAAGTGATATAAATTTGAGCATAATAAATTTAAATAGAACTAACTCACTTTGCATATTTATGTTTATAATATACAATCACTTTCTAATATGTAGAATGTTAATAAGCAATAATAATATACAAATATGTTTAAATGTCATTTAAAACATAAAATTTAAAACTCATCTTAAACATAAAAGAATTTTACAAAATAACTAATTTGGATTTGGTGCTGGAAATAGTAAGCATGCAAAAAAATGTTAAGCAGTCTACCACCAAATCAAAGAAAATTGAGAGTATTTTGATTAAAAATGCTATTTTCTTAAAAGATGCAATATATTTATACATTTAGCTATTTTTTAAAAGATTTTTTACTTTATTTATTTGACAGAGAGAGAGAGGGAGCACAAGCCGGCAGAGCGGCAGGCAGAGGGAGAAGGAGAAGCAGATTCCCCACTGAGCAGGGAGCCTGACATGGGCCTCGATCCTAGGACCCTGGGATCATGACCTGAGCCGGAGGCAGACGCTTAACCAACTAAGCCACCCAGGTTACCCTACATTTAGTTATTTTAAATAATGATATCACCTACTTAAAGTTGACTTTTGGTTCTCCCTTTTAAACATCATATTGTCTTAGGTTCCTCTTTTCTTTGACTACTTTCTGGAACTTCTTCCCCTGACCCATTTCTCCCCAAAAGCTGTATGTCAATATTGTTCAACAATTATGACAGTTCATATTAAATACAATTTAGATAAATGGAGTATAGTAAGTACAGAGGGAGATAATTAATTCTATTAGGTTTATAATTATAAATTGTGAATTTGGGAATCAACAACAAGCAAACATTGGACAGAGCTATGTATTAGGCAGGGAGCGTCCATTCACAAGAGTCTCTCTATAAATGTTAATCCAAAAGCAGTCAGACATTGCAAGTTGGTGATACAAGATATCAGGAAATCGATAAATATATTTCAAAATTTAAAGATTGAGGTTGCTAATGAAGAACAGTGGCGTAAAGAAGAAAAAGTAATCAGGAGGAGGTTTCAGGAAATTTGGGACTGGTGAGGTTCAATCAAGCACCTGTCTATTTCACTATTTTCATGTGAGACTTAGAGCTAAAAGAAATTATCCTATGAAACCTAATCCCCATTCAACCTGAAGACTTTGCTATTGGCAACTTCTTATTTCCTATCAAAAAAAGAATATTTTACATGCTTCCAATTTTAACACCTGCTCATGGGTACTTAGGCACGTAATGCCATCTATTATACAAAATCATTTACTGTACAAGTATGCTCAGTGGCATGACTTATTGTACAAGACAAGAGACATGCTGATGTCTTCTTGCAGAACACAAGAATAAAAACTATGAGTAAATTAGGCAGTTATAGTTAAAATTAGAAATTAGGAATTATTTTTCTATAAAATTCTTCTGATGTAAAATAATATCTAGGGAAAATCAGAAGACACAAAATATTATGAAACTAAAATTAAAATCATATTTAATGTTTAAGTATACTTCAAAAAATTTTTTGTATGTTTCCTTGTTTTTAAGCATCTCTTACTTATTTGATTGTATGATACAAAACCTAATGTTCTAAGCTGATATAACTAAAAAAATGTCCTGACAAATCTCAAAAGAAATGAAATGTACTGATTCTCCAACTCATTTCCATAATAAAGAGATTTAAAGAAATATGTGTGTCCAATGCTTACTCTTCTATCGTTATATTCCCAAAGCTTTTAAGAACCTAAGTTCAGTGAATGAACTGATAAATGCAATGATAAAAAACAGAGGTGAAAGCAATATTGTTCCTTATCTCTGATTTTACGCTACCCTTGGACTCAATTATGAACCCAGAAAGCTAAAGGATAAGCTAAATCTTGATAGAAATATTACATTTTTTTTCCTCAGTGACAATTGATGATTTTCTGGTAACTACTGTGAGAGACAGTGCCACTATTCACCAGTATCGAGTTCTCTTCCACTTCTAGCCACATGGAAGACTGAAATTCTCCTCCCACCAGAAGTGAGGAATGTCTTGTTTTAGACAATGAAATTAAGTAGAAGCAATTTATGAAACTGCCAGGACTAAACTCTCCAGCCTTCTCTTTCCCTGCTGCCATGATACAGGGATCCTACGCAGATGTGGGGATGCCATAAGTGCAAAGCATCTCAGAACACTAGACCATCACAGGGAGGAGGGCTGATTTGCAGTGCACTTTACATGAAAAAGATTTAAACATGTTCGTATAAGCTACTGTAATATGGGGGTTATTTGTTATGGCAGCATAACCTTTATTAACTTGACTTTAACAACTATTTCAGCTTTTATCATTCTCTTCCTCAATCTCTTCTTTGCATGCTACCTCTTTGGCTTGTATTTTATCTTCTAAAACTCTGATTTCCCTTACTTCTCTTTCTTCTCACATGCCCTTCCTTGTATTTCTTCATAGGAACACACAGGAGTAGAGAAAGTAAGGCAGAAAGAATAAAGTTGTAAAATAAAAATAAAATAAGGTAAAAAAATAAAATAAAATAATACCACATACAGACATATAAGGATATAAAATCAGGGGCTTACTTTATTTCAAAGCTAGTCCTCTCAAGATTATCCTGGATTTATGTCACATTTAAACAGTATAATACCATCCCATTTTACATGCAGCTGTTATATTCCTAGAAAACATGTTATTCTTATTATTTACAGAATTGTTGCCTGTGGGGGTAGGGGAGGGGGGAAGTGAAATGAATAGAGTGTAAAATTTGGAGTCACTTCTATAGTTGAGTCCCAGCTCCACATTGCATAGATTGTTGACTTTTTGGTGTAACTTTCCAATTATTATAGGTTTAGTTTCTTTATATTTTAAGTGGAAAAAGTGATAGTATGCTTCAGATGTAACAGTGTTTGACAAATATACATGTGTATCAGTTATTATTAGGGAAATAAGGACAGCTCAGGAAAGTGTGATTCCAACAGAATAAATCATAAGACCAGGTGTGGGAGTTCCAACCAGCTTTAAAAAAATTTTTTTTAAAGATTTTATTTATTTATTTGAGAGCGAGCGAGATTGAGAGCACAAGCGGGGTGAAGGGCAGAGGGAGAAGCAGACTCTCTGCTGATCAGGGAGCCTGATGCAGGGCTTGATCCTGGGACTCTGGGAACATGACCTGAGCCGAAGGCAGATGCTTAACCAACTGAGCCACCCAGGTGTCCCTCCAACCAGCTTTATGACTTTTCCTCTGTCTCATCACAATGTCAGCCTCACAGAGAAGTTTCCAGAACTTCTTGGGTATCTCAAATGATAGATGCCTATTATATGGCACACAAAAGCACTTCTATCTCTAGTTGTGATAATCAATGAACCCAGATACAGACAAAAACCTAATATAAATTGTAAAAGCTGGAAGCAAGCAACCTCCTAGAGAAAGCAGTTTGGGCTACTGTTTGAGCTCAGTCCTGCCGGTTTCTCAGACACCATAACCTAAAATTATATTTGTACCTGCTGGTATTTCAAGGTTTACTGATCAAGTGATCAAATAGATTTTCTTGATTCCGTGTTCTGATCTTCCACAAATGAGTGATTAGAGTTTACTGAAACTTTCTTACTTTTGACTTATCGCCTTTCCTAATCTCTAGACATATTAATTGACAATGTTAACCCTGGGTGGTAATTCTAAGTAGATTGTTGGTCCAACAATGCTGTCATTAAGAGATCAAAATGTATTCATTAAAAACTTGTTTTTTCACTCTTAGTTAGCAAATAATTTTGAAAATTGAAAAAAAATCAACAATTAGTGTTTTTAATGTGTAATTTATAAACTGTCTCTATCTTTTGAGTAACAAAAGAATGAACAAATACACTGTGAAAATATACAAAGTAAAATAAATTAATAAATTAGTTATTTGCCAGCATCATTTATTCCATAAGAGGCAGCATGAGGAATAGAAAAAGCCCAGGACTGGTTTTGCAATCTGCCTTGTTATTGTAATTGCACATTTTCAAATTCTCAGTCTCTCTGAAAGATATATTGTTTTCTATTCTTTGACTTTTGGTACTTAAATATGTTCGTGTTTAAAGACGTCTTCTATAGATAGCTTGACTTGTTTTAACACAACCCATTTCAGAATTTTACTTCCCTGCGTTTCATGTCATTCCTTCCAGCATCCACATTTCTCATGCTGCATATTAATTGTATTTTCCCTTAATTCCTTAGTGCGGACAGAAAATAGACAAATATGCCCTTTGCATACTTACTTGAAGATCATTTACATATTAAATTGTCTTTTAGACTTTGGTTCTTCAGGCCAAATCACACCACTCCTTTTTCTCAGAGGTCTGATTTTCCAAGCTTAATCATACTTGTGGTAGTCCTCTGAACTGTCCAGGTTTTCCACATCCTTCTTTAGATGAAGTTCCAGAACAGCTCAATGGGGCCTAATGGAAGTTTGGAGGCTCAATGATATTCTTTTTTCTAAGCTAATTACGTGCTGAATAAGCACTCTGGTAGAAAATTAGTACTGTCTAAATCACATATAAACTCTTATAGAGCAATGTTGAGCTCTTGGCTACCCCCAAATAATCCACTGAGAAATGACTCAATACACACAAAAAAACTGGAAGTTTGTCTAAAGAAGGATGAATATGACACTTTGGAATGACAAAGTCATTATTAAGCTCATTATTAGGAAAAAGCCTGAATGATGGGAACCAAAGGGAGGACTAAAAAATAATTACCATTTTCTCTATAAGGCTAACTTCAAACATGTAAATGCCAATTTATCCATCAAGACTTTCCTGATCCCATAGCCCCTCTTCCATTCTCATAGCTCTGTTTTTCTCTCTGCCATAGTATTTATCACATTGTTTTAGATTTTAGTTTATAAGTGTTTGCCTCTCCCTTCTGTCTTTCACAATGTCCTTCACAATGCCATAATAAATAATTAAACACAGATATGAATGTATTATAGTTTACCTCAAACACACCATGAATTTTTACATTTGCATATCTTTGCATGTTTCTTCTTTCTAGATTCTTCTTCAAAGCATAGCTCAAACATCACTTCTCTACGGACCTCCTTAATGCCCTACTTTCCATCCCAAAGACAGATTAATTTATCTCTCATTTGTGTTCCTATAACAATTGATATATATTTATATTTTATCAATTATTTTGGTTCAATCTAATTACTTATATATTCTCTTTTCTTTTCAACACTGCAATTTTCAAGGGCATAACCATATCCACTTTCTAAATATATTATCTGGGATATAAATATTTAAAAAATTGAATTTGTAAATATTTCATCTCTACTACTAAACTGTAAACCTCTTGAGGGAGGAATATCAAACATGATTCCCCCTAGCATGCTACAAACACCTGTTGAATGGATGGATAAATGATAAAGGAATGACATAACAAACATTCACACATGAGCCAAATAAGCCAACACAACCATAGATGTCTGCAAGCTTACCGGTCCATGGCAGGTGAGGATGCCATCTTCCATCTTCTCACACTGGGGGTCACACTCCACACAGATGGAGCCATTCTCAAATTCTCGAAATTCACTGTGAAAACATCAGCTGCATGAGGTGGTATAAGCAAACAAGCTGTCAACTTAACAAATGAAGCAACATCTGCTAAAAGTCCTATTGGCAGAGTAAATTCTAGAGTCTGTTTCTTTATGTGCCAGGAGCATCAGAATCATTTCCCTGTACATTATGGAATAAGTTCTCCATTAGGAGAAAAGATAAACTGCAGCCAGATGGCTCTCCTTGCCCTCCACTGGGTTCAACGATAGACTCATTCAGGGAAACCTCTCTCTTGTGAGAGATATTCTAGCAGTCTCAAAAAAAAAAAAAAAAAGTATGACTCTTCTGATGACACAACAGAATCATTTTTACCTTTTTTTAAGTAAAGCTGTGCCTGTTTGTCTCTATATAAAATTTTACTCTTGGCTGAGCTTTATTTTTTAAACTCTGAAAGAACTATTGTATTTTTCTTGTTGCTAAGTTACGTGATATTCCTCATCCCTGTCCTTCAAATCCCAAGACTCTTCAATTTATTTTTGGTGGAACTTCAAAAAAATGCTTTGATTTCTTTTCTTCTTTTAAAATAGCTGCCTTGGAGAATTAGAGAAAATATCTTTTTATGGCAGATTTTATATTCTTAGATTATTGATCTAATATCACATCTTTTTCAGCTTAAGATCTTTTTGAAGTAATTCTATATGGTATAAAATAAAAAATAGTTAAGTGTCAACACTCTAAAATTTTCTAATTAAAATCTAGGATGATGGTTATCCCTTCCCACAACCTTACATTTGATTTGAATGTTAAATGTCATCAATAGTAAGTTTTCTGATCAATATCTACTGCAAAATTTTCATTTCAATAATTGGGTATCATTCATGTACAATATGTTTAAATACCCCATTCCCACTAATGTATCAGAGGATGAGGCACTAGGTAAAAACAATTTAGAATGCCAGTTGTAAGTCATTAACAAAACTTGACTAAATATTTACAGCTTCTGTGTTATTTTGTGTCTGTATATTATGAGCTCTTTCAAACTAAAAGCATTGCAAATATGGCAATTATGGATTAATTAGGTGATAAATTTAAATTTATTTTTCCCTAGAATGAAGTGTTCACTTATTTCATAGTGAACTATCCCATTTGGTTATTATAAAGCCTTAATAAATGACAGAAATCCAAAAGATGGGCTATTTTTCTGTTGGTTAAATTAAAACTACACATACTTTAAGGCAAGATAATTAAGCTTGGCTTTTCAAAATAAATAGCATAAATTGGTGGTTTAGTTAGGTATCAAAGCACATATTTAGTTACAAGGATTTTGCATTTTTAAAATGAGGCGTTGGCTTGCTATGAATTAAGTTTCTTACAAATTTTCTTGAATTTAAAAACTCAATTACATAGAAACAGATTTTCTTTTGTATGTTTTATTAACATGAATTATATACAGTGCTTGACAGAGGAAATATTCAGAATAAAAAAGTCAAAATGACCTGGTATGGGGGCAAGGGGGATGGTAGGTTAATTGTGAAGAGAATCAAAAGCATCATCTGTATAATGAAATTATAAAACAGTTAACAGCAAAACCTGCAACCATCAGCAAATTCCTTTTTTTTTTTTTTGAGTACAGTTTCTTGGGTTGCTAAAGGTTATGTTACTGAATGAAGGTCATAATTTTTGTGGTACTAAACCATTGGTCATGCTTTTCTTTCTCTTCTTGAAAATCCCTTTCTCACACACAGAGTTGAAGAATAAAGTGAATATGTCATAAAAAGTCATGGAGATACAATGTAGCTGCCTTTTCCTCTATAGTCTAGACTTCTATTTGTATGGCTTTGGGCTCTCTTCCTTTCTGCTCTCAGAACTGATCCTTCTTTTAATTTTTATTACTTCTGCTCTTCATTGTCACTGTCTCCATCAATGCTTTTCCTTCCCCATTTCCTATTGATTATACTATGACTTTGCCACAGTTCCCCTTTCACTTGAATCTGACCTAACAAATCAGTCTATTGAGCTGAGTTTTGCATACTGAGCTTTTTGTCACTTTTTTACTATCTATATTTCTCACAGTCTTGCTGTGTGTGTTACCTTAGCCAATCCTGTGATCCAGAGCAAATGCTTTAGAGTTAAGTCCTTCCCAAATTTGGCCGGTTGTTCCCAACACCAACACTAATACTTCTAGGCCTTAAATGCCTTAACATCTCTAGACTTCATTTTGTAAATATCCTTTGTAAAAAGGAAAAATTGTGTTTCAATGAGAGGTTGTGATTATTAAATATAAATGCCTACAAAGAGCTTAGACTGGCACTCTTTCTGATGTTCCCATTTGTTCTTAATGTTTCAAAAGCATTTGACCATGTCGTCAAATAAGACAGTTTTAAGATTGCGTTGCAATGAGTTTTCTCTTTCATTCTCAATGCTTGTGCACTGTAGTTAAGAGTTGCTGAAATACAGTGGCTTCTATGACCTGGACTTGAATGCTAACATCCAAGAAATAACTGATTTTCTTTTCCCCTTCAAAAAGTTCTCTTTTGAGGATTTCTTCTCATATAAAAGTTATATAAATATAAGTGCCCTGATTTTGGTAAAGGTCTTATTTGTATTTGTTTTCAACATTTTTAAGGTGACTGTTCTACTTAACCATCTAATCAGCTTAGATTTATGGACACAAAAAGAAAATAATAATCATCTTAGTAGTAAAAATTCTAACAAGACTTTATTATGCATTTTCTCATTTAATAACCATAATTATCCTATGAAATTGACACCATTATTATCCCCATTTTCCATATAAGAAACCTAAGTTTAGAACAATTAGGTTATTTATCCAAGATTGAAAATGAGGAAGTGATGAAGTTAGGATTTGAATTTATTATTCCTCAAAGGCTGTTTTAACTGCGGGGCAATGTTGGAAGAAATTAGTACCACAAGATTGGAGGTGGGAAAATCTATCACTGCGTAGGCTAGAATTACATCAGACTTTTACAAGGTATTTTCATTTATTATCTTTCAAACTAACCCTTATATATGGTTTCCCAGAGCCCTATTGCTCTTGTAAAACACATTAAAAACTTTGTATTTCTTGAATACGTTTGATTTAATGACTTGGAAAATGTTAAACTTTCAAAAACAGTCTGGTAATCAGTGTTGTTTATTTAGGAAACATGTATTTTTCCTTTGCTTTACTTTCATTATTTTGCAGATGTGAGAGAGGATGGTATATGCATCCACATATTTGTCCATTTCACATTTCTGACAAGTTTAAAAATATTAAGGAAAAATAATGGCATCTGGAAAAGTAACACGATGGAAATCAGATGCCCTGAATTCTATTGTTGGCTTGATTCTTCTACAGTGGAATGACACTGGCCAACACTTAATTCTACTAGTTTTCACTCTTTATAAGATACTGCTCTTAGAGAAGATGGTTTCTAGAGCCCGGTCCTTCTTTAAAACTCCACTGAGAATATATATATATATTATATCCAATAAACTTATAACATTCACTAAATGGAATTAAAGTCTATTAGTTACATGTTAATGGCATCAATGGCTTTACAACAAATAACCATATTTTGATCTGAAGTATTTTATGTACAGAACATATCATTCATTTATAAAAATGAGAATAAGCATGACTACAATTTAATGAGAAAAGCAACACATAATTTGCTATCCATTATCAAATTTATGAGCTGATTGTACCTTATAAAATCATAAGCTGGAATTTTCCTGAAAAACAATTAAATTCTTATTTTAAACTGTTTCACACTTAAACTTCTAATTTTATTTTTTTTTCTAAATTTCATGAAGGGAATTGGTATTGGTCATCTTCCAAAAAAGAGACATATTAATATTATTATGATCCATAGATTTCTAACTTTCTGATATAAAATGCAAAAGTACAATATTATCTCAGATCATGAAAACAGTTGTTTAAAATGGGACAATTCTATAATCATATTGATGAAACTGGAATTCATGGTTTGATTTCAAAACAAGTATATTCACTATATACTAGTCACTTAGAGGTTATTTAAATAACAAAATATTGTATCATAAAAGACATGTAGAATTTTAAAACAATAAAGATTTGAACCTATAAAAAAAAATGGGACAATTCATGAGGTAAAAGAAGAAATGCAATAAAGAACTTCAAAACTACACTTTTACAGAACTGTTGAAAATCCTTTCAGTGAGCATTATAAGAAAATTTGACTCAAGAACAGTACTAAAAAATGTATTATCACATTAATGAAGGATGACTGTAATGCATGAAATGGTATGTTATGATAAACTGATTTTATGAGTATATGAAATGCCACTGCAACAAGATATATACACATTGTTGGCAATGTGATTATTATAGTACCAATAGGAATTTAAAATTCTTGATTTAAAATACTGCTTAGGTTATCTTTAGAAAGTGGCAAAACACTATCAAAAACCCCTTCAACTAGAAACTACAAAGGCAATTTTCCTATAGGGCTAAGCAGTTGTCAGAGACATAGAAATGTGTATCATTTGTTTCTAACACACAATCTAAAAAGACACATAACTTGGATGGAAAAAAATTCAAAAGTTATGCAGTAATTCTTTTTTTGTTGTTAAGATTTTATTTATTTGACAGAGACAGACATAGCGAGAGAGGGAACACAAGCAGGGGCAGTGGGAGAGGGAGAAGTAGGCTTCCCGTGGAGCAGGGAGCCCAATGCGGGGCTCGATCCCAGGACCCTGGGATCATGACCTGAGCCTAAGGCCGACGCTTAATGACTGAGCCACCCAGGTGCCCCAGTTATGCAGTAATTCTAGATGAAAATTAATAGGAAAGTATGTGAAAAAATAGTATTGGGACATTTGAGAGGAAAGATTACTTGTAACAATCTCCTTCATAAGGAAAATAAGAATATATTTTTCAATTTTGCTTCAGTATAAACGGCTACAATTTATTAAGAATGATCTACTTCAGTATACTTTTTGAAGTTTGTGTAATAGTCAACATATATTTGGACTTTTCTTATTTCAAATAAAATTCTTTCTCCTTAAAACAATTCTTCTATGTGTTGTTGTCTCCTTTATGCAACAAGAGCTTCCCTTAAAAACCCTGGCCGGCACACACATTCTGCAATTTTACCATTTTCTTATCATTTAAATATCTGAAGCAATCAGTGCCTCAAAGCTTATGAGGTAAAGGCAACGTTGTAAGATGCCTTACCCATCATAGAGGTTACAAGACTCGATGCAGCTCCTTCCTCTGCTGAAGCGACGGCAGGACAAGCACTGGTCGGGACCAGGTCCCCAACAGCCATTGCTTGAACACAGATGGTTGCACACCATTCCTTCAGCAGCTGGAAGAGAAAAAACAAATTCAAGAGTGAAATAAAAAAGAAGGATGTGTTAAAACTTAACCATCAAAAAACATTTTACCATTTTAATGTGAGTCTTCCCAAGTGATGCTATTTCGGAAGAAGTTGGTTTGAAGGGGATTTGTGGCAGATAACTTTGTCTGCCTACACAGTCACGGTGGCCCACACTACTGTCAACTTCTTCCCTATTGCAGAGCCCCATCACTGTGTGTGTAGAACCACTACACTTTTCATAAGAATGAACAAATGTCAATTGTCTACATCAAAATTCTAGGGAGGAAGGGTGATAAAAATTAACTTTCCCACTAAGGCAGGGAGCAAACCATGCCTTTCTCAATCCAACTCTTTGCTCCACTGAGACACCAAAAATTTTAACTTCAAATCCATATGAGCGTCATGAAGAAATAGAACAAATAATACTTGTCTTAAAACAAAACAAAATTTAGAAAGAGAAAAAAAAGAATACCTGGAAGGTAAGTTGGGGGGGAGAGAAATGGAAATAAAATACAAGTTTTTTACAGGCCTCTGCCTTGATAGTCAAATGGGCACATATAAATTTGCAAATATATGAAACAAATTGTAGTGGTCACTGATGAGGAGATATAGAGATGAAAGTAATAACAATGATCTTTAGCCTTGTCTCTATGTAATCTGTTGATGAGAGGGTTGCCAAAGAATTTTGGGACTGCTTTAAAATTGCCACTTAAGTTCACCATCTCTGTTTCCCTTTATATTGAGTAACAGTTATTCAGAATATTATTATTTATATGGAAGAACATGATTTTAGTAAAAGGATACTAGACGTTGAATAAGAAGGGCCTATGAAGACTTCAAATGTTATTCTGAGTATCTGAAAAGTGATTTGAGTCATCTGAAACACAACTGTATATGGTTTTCATAAAATATTAAGAATTTCTAAGAAGATAAAAAAACCATCAAAAACACCTTCATCTTCCCATTAGTTACCAAGTTTAATTATTATGGAATGTAAGTTGTCATGACAAGAGCATTTGTGAGATGGGTTGGGACAGCATTGAATATATGAATGTACAGGGGACATATCTGTGAAAGTTACCTTCTCTAACATAGACTTGAGAAAGGAATTGCCAGCATTCATGATGCTGACTAGTTTCAAAATAGTGAAACAAAATCATCCAATTCAGGTATTCTTCCTCTTATATCCTGCAGCCTTAAGGAGGCCCCTATGTCAAACTGTGGAAAATTTTTTCTCAAGGCAGAGTTAGACCTACTAACCAGTCTTTTTACTTGGTAACTGCTTAATTGAATAATCTCTTCCAACATAGTTTGAGAAACTGTGTGTGTGTGTGTGTGTGTGTTTAGCAGTTTTATTGAGGTATACATGATATATAATATATTGCTCATACATAAAGTGTACAATTAGATGTTTTGACATATGCATGCAATCATGAGCCATATACACAATTAGAGTAATGAATGTATCCATTAATTCCAAAAGAGTTCTTATGACCTTATGTAATCCCTTCCTCCCGCCCCATCCTTCTCAGACAACCATTCATATGCTGTTACTCAATATACATTAGTTTGCACTTCTTAAAATTTTATGGATTTGGATGGAAATAGAAACATACAGTATGTACTCTCTTTATATAAAACATACAGTATGTACACTCTCTTTATACAGTTTCTTTCACTCCGAACAATTATTTTGAGATTTATCTGTGTTGCTGTGTGTATCAATATTCATTCTTTTTTTTTTTTTTTGGACTTTACTTATTTATTTGACAGAGAGAGAGATAGACAGCCAGAGAGGGAACACAAGCAAGGGGAGTATGAGAGGGAGAAGCAGGTTTCCCGCAGAGCAGGGATCCCAGTGCAGGGCTTGATCCCAGGACCCTGGAATCATGACCTGAGCCAAAGGCAGATGCTTAATGGCTGAGTCACCCAGGCGCCCCAATATTCATTCATTTGTGTTACTAAATATATTCCATTGTATGGATATACAACATTTTTTAAACCATTCACCTATTGCTACACATTTAGACTGTTTTCCATTTTGTGCTATTAAAATTAAGCTACTAAGGGGCACCTGGGTGTCTCAGTTAAGTGTCGGACTCTTGATTTCAGCTCAGGTCATGATCCCAGGGTCGTAAGATGGAGCCCCGCACCAGGCTTTGTGCTGAGTGTGGAGCCTGTTTAAGATTCTCTCACTCCCTATGACCCTCCCCACCCTGCTCCCACACACTCTAGATAAAAAAGAAAGAAAGAAAGAGAGAAAGAGAGAGAGAGAGAGAAAGAAAGAAAGAAAGAAAGAAAGAAAGAAAGAAAGAAAGAGAAAGAAAGAAAAAGAAAGAAAGAAAGAAAGAAAAAATTAATCTACTATAAACATCCATGCACAAGTCTTTGTAAGGCATATGTTTTCATTTCCTTTCAGTAAACACCTAGATATAGTAGGTATAGGATTAACTTTTCAAGAAATGGTCAAATTGTTTCTCAAAGTAGTTGTACCAGTTTACATTCCCTAATAGCAATGAACGCAACTCAAGAATTAAAGTTCCCCCACATTTTTGCCAATACTTGATATGGTCAGTCAGTTTAATTTTATCCTTCCTAATAGGTATGCAGTGATATCTCATTGTAGTTTTGATTTACATTTCCAAAATGGTACTGTATGGTTCTGTATTAGTCAAGGCTCTCCAGGGAAACAAAATAAACAGGATACATATGATTTCTTATAAGGAACTGGATCACATAGGTGTAAAGGCTGAAAAGTCCCACCGTTTGCCCTCTGCAAGCACAAGACCCAGGAAAGCATATTTCAGTCTCAGTCTACACAAATAGTATAGAAAGACCTATTGATTTTTTTGCATATAGATATCCAATATTTCCAGCACCATTTGTTAAAAACACTATCTTTGTCTTGCCTTTGGAGGCATGCCTAGCAAGAAGTTGTTGCAGCCAAGACAAAGAGGTTGCTGCCTGTGTTCTCCTCCAGGATTTTGATGGATTCCTATCTCACATTTAGGTCTTCCATCCATTTTGAGTTTATTTTTCTGTATGGTGTAGGAAAGTGGTCCAACTTCATTCTTCTGCATGTGGCTGTCCAATTTTCCCAACACCATTCGTTGAAGAGACTGTCTTTTTTCCATTGGACATTCTTTCCTCCTTTGTTGAAGTTTACTTGACCATAAAGTTGAGGGTCCCTTTCTGGGTTCTTTATTCTGTTCTATTGATCTATGTGTCTGTTTTTGTGTCAGTACCATACTGACTTGATGATGATTATAGCTTTGTAGTACAGCTTGAAGTCTGATATTGCAATGCCTCCAGCTTTGGTTTTCTTTTTCAACATTCCTTTGGCTATTATGGGTCTTTTCTGGTTCCATTCAAACTTTAGGATTGTTTGTTCCAGCTCTGTGAAAATTTTTTGATAGGGATTGCATTGGGTAGCACAGACATTTTAACAATATATCTTCTTCTAATCCATGAGCATGGAACATTTTTCTATTTCTTTGTGTCTTCCTCAATTTTTTTCATGAGTGTTCTATAGTTTTCTGAGTACAGATCCTTTACCTCTTTGGTTAGGTTTATTCCTACATATCTTATGATTGGGGTGCAATTGTAAATAGGATTGATTCCTTGATTTCTCTCTTTTTCTGCCTCATTGTTAGTGTATAGAAATGCAACTGACTTCTGTGCATTGATTTTATATCCCGTGACTTTGCTGAATTCCTGTATCAGTTCTAGCAATTTTTTGCTGGAGTCTTTTGGGTTTTCTACATAGAGTATCACGTTGTCTGAGAAGAGTGAAAGTTTGTCTTCTTTGCTGATTTGGATGCCTTTCTTTTTGTCGTCTGATTGCTGAGGCTAGGACTTCCAGTACTACGTTGAACAACAGTGGTGAGAATGAACATCCCTGTCATGTTCTTGACCTTAGGGGAAAAGCTCTCAGTTTTTCCCCAACGAGGATGTTCTTTTTCTAGCTCCTTTAGGTGTAAGGTTAGGTTGTGATTTGAGACTTATTTCTTGAGGAAGGCCTGTATTGCTATATATTTCCCTCTTAGGATCATCTTTGCTACATCCCAAAGGTTCTGAACTGTCATGTTTTCATTTTCATTTGCTTCCATGTATTTTTTCTAATTCTAGTTCTCTTACTATTTCTACCACATCTGCAGTTCCTTCCTCCACTGAAGTCTTGAACCCTTTAAAATCATCCATTTGAGTTGGAATCAACTTCTTCCAAACTCCTTTAATGTTGATATTTTGACCTTTCCCAGGAATCACAAATGTTCTTAGCGGTATCTAGGATGGTGAACACTCTCCAGAAGGTTTTCAATATATTTTGCCTAGATCCATCAGAGGAATCACTGTCTATGGCAACTACAGCCTCATGAAATGTATTTCTTAAATAACAAGACTTAAGAATCAAAATGAGCTTTTTGATCTATGGGCTGCAGAATGGATGTTGTATTGGAAAGCATAAAAACAACAACAATCTCATATACCTCCATCAGAACTCTTGGGTGACCAGGTGAATTATCAATGAGCAGTAATATTTTCAAAGGGATCTTTATTTCTGAGTAGTAGGTCTCAACAGTGGGCTTAAAATAGTCAGTAAACCATGTTGTAAACAAATGTGCTGTCATCCAGGCTTTGTTGTTCCATTTAGAGGGCACAGAGTAGATTTACCATAATTCTCATGGGTCTTTCAGTTTTCAGAATGATCAATGAGCACTAGCTTCAACTTAAGTCACCAGCTGTGTTAGCCCCTAACAAAAGTCAGGCTGTCCTTTGAAATTTTGAAGTTAGGCATTGATTTCTCCTCTCTAGCTATGAAATCCTAGATGGCATCTTTTCCAATATAATGCTGCTTCATCTATATTGAAAATCTGTTGTTTGGTGTTTTCATTTTTAAATAACTATAAATTCATATAAGTAATAATACAGAGAGATCCATGTTCCCTTTTCCTCTACTGGTAAAATCTCGCAGAACTATAGTTCAATAA